ACTTTGCATTCTGGGCTTAGTTTGCCTTGTACTGCCTTCAGAGTTTGGATCATGAATGTGAATGCTGCACAATGATACCCATTTTGAAAGCTTTCTGTGGTTTCCTTAATTCAGTCAGATTGATGAGGAATGATCCAGCTCATGGCTGTAGCTTACATGAAGTTCAGAAATGTTTCTGTGTCATAGCTGTATCATGTGAGTGGCAGTGGGCTGGTGCAGGAGCTGCTGGGAAACCTGAGTCCCTTGATGTGGGAGCAGGGAGCCAGCAGTGCTTATCAGCCCACCGCGGGCCACTGAGGAGCCTTTTGCTATCACTACCCCATGAGTTATAACTGGAGTTCCACCTTCAGCCTTCCAAGCAGTGTGGTGTATGTCTTGTGGCCTGTATCTGCTTGAAAGTATGCATACAGAGCTTATCAGATCTGGAATTCTAGACCCTTCCTTTTATATGAAAGAATAAATACACATTTACATATTTCTTTCATCTGCACAGCAAACTAGGCAGTTTTGGTGTTTTCAAGTGTAATTTTAGTGGGAGATGTAATAATACATTGAAAATAGTTGTTGGACATGTTCAGCACTTTTATCATCAAAATCCTTTAGTCTTAACCTGATGCAATGCTGTGAAGCGATACAGCCCAAAGACCTTAGTTTTGTATTCTGTGCTCAGGTCCTGTAGTGATTGGATGCTTTATAGAAATGCAGGCACACAGCAGAGATATCTTCACAAGCTGCCTGTTGAAAACATAACGCAATTTTGCAAATGCATGGACCTTTACAGAAGAGATCACAAGGAGCTCTTATATAATCTAATGCTGCCAGGTAATGTGCTCCTAAAGAGTGAGATCTCTTTAGGAGAGACAGGGAACAACTGTCTTGTGAACCACCTGTCGGGTTTGGCAAAAGTGGTGATGCTTACGGAACTCCTTTTTTCAAGAGATAGTTTGCAGAAACACCACCTATTGTATGTCTACATTGACATGCTTTTTGTAGGCAGATGTGAGGTTGTTCTAAACTGGAAGTCATGTAGTTTACGTAAGTGCTAACCGTAGCTAAACTGAATTAGAGTGGGTTTGTGGCCAGTCATCTCCGAGTGTGGGCAGAGTGAGCTCATATCTGCCTGTGAAATGCTGTGGAGATGTATCCTATTTTAGGTATTTTTTGAGCCTTGTTTCTGTAATAACGACATCACTGCTTCTGGTATGTAGAACTGTAAACCATCAGTGTTGCAGAAGGAAGAAATAGTAGCTCCTTTTTGTGAATAAGGAACTAAGAAGCACAAAGAAGCTCTTCTGCTGGCGGTTGAGCAGAAAATTTATAGCAAAGGCAGTATCAGAGGACAGAGCTTTGGAGACCAATTTTAACATTGTTTGCACTGTGTTGTTATTACTTCACTGTGATGCAACGTGTTTTAAAATGAACACTTGCATAACAGGTGGTATGCTCTGATTCCTTCTTTGATAAATCATTTCTCTGCAATCTCTGTTGCAGAAATCCAAGTGAGGATCATTGCAGAGGGACTATTCTAAAATGAAAAGTATGAGGGAAACAACATTGTAGTTGGTTTGGTTGGTTTTTGTGTTGTTTTGGTTTTTTCCTCCCCTTTGCCTGGTTTTTGTTTCTTTGCTAATTCATGGAACCAAGGAGAGTAATGTTTAAGAAACAAGCCAGCAAAGGCAGTAAAATACAGTCCCCATCCATTGAAGAGTAGTGACACAAAGGGAAGATAACAGGAAACTCCTTGTCTCTTTTTTAGAAAGTTTCATGTGTAGTGGTCAATTGCTCTATTTACTTTCCTGTTTCAAAATGATCATGTATGAAGTGTTTTCCATGCGTAAACTATTCTTCATTAAATCATCTTGAAACTGCAAAAGATTTCATCATGATCAGACTGCTGTTACCTCCTTTTTGTGATTGTGTCTGGGGTTCATTAATATTTTAATTGTGAAATTTTTCACATTTCAGGGTATGAAATTGCTATGTGATTCAGGACCTAAGTGTATAGCTTAATTTCCTGTATTATTCCTTTTTCTCATTCCACATAATGCTATAATTCTGAAAATAGTTTTTTAACAGTTGTTGAATGGTACATATTTTGGTCCCAGCAGCCCACAATGATAGGCCACATTCTCAAATAATGTAACATGATGCCATGTTTTTTACTAAGTAACTGCTTCCGTTTTTTACTTGCAGGCTCCTTGATGCTCACTGATGACTGTTCACAGAAAATGCAGACTACCTGTAGAGGCTCTATCTTAGAAGAATAAGAATGTTTTAATTAAATATTTTATAGAATGACTAATATTATTTTCTTTCCTGAAAATAAAATCTCTAGGAATTATTACAGCTGATGGTGCTTGGGCAAAAAGCTATTTTGTAAGTGGCATTTGGCTACTTACAGAATTTTCTTTGGTGTATAACATTTAAGGCATACAAGATCACACAGTCATTTAGAGATGTACATAATTTGTTTTAAGTCCACCATTCTCTTGGTGTCAGTGTGAGTTTGCAAGTCAAGCAAAAGCTTAGCTTTTTGAAAAGTGAGTTATTTTGAAGGATTCTGGTTTTGAAATTGTTGGTTGATTCTGCATTATTCTTAGTCAAGTCAGTGAGAGAGGTTTAACTTTATTAACAATTCTTTTAAGCCAGGCCTGTGACTTTTTTGGTGTTTGCAGATATGACCTTGGTCTTATTTCATGTTACTTGATGTTAGGACACCTTTGCCTGTTTGAGAAAAAAAACGAACAACTCCAAACAAACAGTCAAACCCATGAAAACTACTACCATGTTTGCTTTTGAGCAAACATTTTCACTTAAGAGGTAACCTTTTTATGGTTTACTAAAATGGAATTTTTGGGACAAACAAGGAGAAAATCAACCTTTGCTATTTTCATTGAAAGTGTGTTGTCTGAACCCTTAGGTCCTTTTCTAAATCCCTGTCTTTACAGTTTCTTGTTCTCATGGCAGATAGTGTTATTTAGTTTTTTTTTTATTCTGTTTTCCAAGACTTCGTAGTCCATTCCAGTTGTTCATAGCTATTTCTGGTCAGTTAGATTGTTTTCAGCATTATACTCTGGTTGTGTTCATAGACTACTGTTATTACTGAACACTTACTTGATTGCATAAGTTTATTGAATTTATGAAGGCAGTGTGGTTGAAGTCAGTTTTGCCTGAGGTACTAAATGCAACAGTCTAGCGCAAACGAGTCCATTTAGAAAGGTCTGGTCTGTTTGAGGTTGGGGTTTTTGGTTTTTCCACCTTGACTATCTTCAGAATGGATAAGCCTTGCAGCTGATTCCCCATTTTGAGGTGTTATCTGAGCAACAAGCCTTCATTTGCTCAGGATCTCTGTTTGGCCCTCTCCCTCACTTGCACTGTTGCTGTAAGGATCAAGGCTTCACATGCACATTATTCTTCAGGATATTTTACCAAACTGAACTTTTTTCCTGATAGATTAACAGAGTGCTAGAGCTAAATTTAAAATTTTGTATATTTAACCTTTCCCCCTAATTGCTTGCCCAGAATAAAGCTTTGGTCCTTTGTTCCTAAATTCTCTACATGAGGTGGTGTGCATTAAAGTGTATTTATACTCTTTCAGATTAATTAACTGTGACCTTATGAACCACTGTCCTTGTTTAATTGGTGGCTCCAAAGCACACTAATGGCATAAATCAGCTGATAATGAGATTCAGACTTGCTTTTAAAATATATAATAACACTGCGTTGATATAGCAAATGAGATTTGTTGACTCTCTGTTGGTATTACAGGAAAGAAGACACAATTAAATGTGTACTTTCAGGATGGGGGAGGGCTTGGTTGGAATGAATAATATGCACTTCAGTGTGGGTGTATGAAATAAGGAGGATATTCTACATCAAGATAAGTTTGGTATTCTCTCCTTGTCTCTAGGCACTGTGCAGTACTGGCTGGTGCACTTTAGGATACAGAAATGTTGTGGGAAGGTGTTTCTTAAAGATTACTGGAGGCTAACAAAAATGATGATTTCATCTTAAATATAGTTACATGTTTTTAAACTGAGCTTACACCCACTGTTTTATGAACTGCAAATTAATCAGCTCCCAGAGAACAAAAAGGTTTTGACCTAAACTAGTTGCTTAGGCTCCATTACTATTTTCAGTTTAATGTTACCCATATCCATCCTCACATTTTGGAAAGAAAACAAGGACTGTGCAACAAAGTTTCTTTGTTTTCATAAGAACTAAAAATGTGCTGTATGTAGACCAAACAATAAAAATAAACTACTGAACTACCTTCTAAAGCATGGGGGTTCTGGAGAGAGGAAACCATGGATATTTAGAGGTACAAAGTGAGTCATTGTGCTAGTTAAAGGATTTTATAAGGCAAGCTCTGTGGGTTTGAGTTGCATCTGTTACCTCTCCAGCTAGAACTGAGGGATATGAAGGAAAAAGAATGTTGGATTTAATCATGCCTTATAGTGAACACATTGTACTTAGGCTAAGTTTCTGACTGGGATCTAGACTGTAGAAGAACAAGTTAGTCTCTTTCTCTATGAATTTTGCCTCAGATGGGTTTCAGTTAAATGCACCTAGGCCATATTTTACACCAGTTTAGCTGCAAAATGCTGTTAACAAAATACTTTTTAAAAATAATGAATGTTCTGTAACATTTGAAAACAAAATACCAAGCAAAACCCTCAATCAGCCAAAACCCCCCTCACAGCTGTTTTCCTTATTAAAAGATAACCATGCTTACATTTATGATACTTCTTAGAAGCCATAATGGACTGGGTTGCTATGGTGTGAGATGCAGAACAATGAAATAATTGTTTCACTTGGTATTGGCTTCCTGGAAACAAGTTCTGTGTAAATCACTTGGCTGAAAGACTGACAACAGGCTTGTGTTTTGCTTTATTTAGTTCATAGTTAAAAAGTCTAACTATTCTATAATGATAAAAAAGTAACATTTATCAGTTCTGGGTTTTCTTTTGTTTCAACTTGTTTTCCTTTTACATTTTTAGGTCAGTTTCATGAATTCAAAAGCAACTTACCAGTGATTTCTGGGAGCTGGGGCTGATTTTCTTGTGTATTTGTAAGTATTTGATGATTGTTTTTCTTGTTATGTTCATCTTTCTAATACTCTATTAACATGAAGAGCGGAAGCTGCTTTAAAATGTTGCTGTCATACCATGGTTTTAGAATGTTGCTTTTATTAAGAAATGTACCTAACTATAAACTTACAGGTTTTTTTGCTATCAACTTATGCTTCAGCTATTTGGAAGGACTTTTAAAGCAAATGCTCCATGTGTTTATTGAGGAAACACTGGGACCATGAGTATCTGCTGAACTGGGAATGTATTTTTATATATGCTGAAGAAAGCTGACCTTTATGGTTGCAGCAAAAGTGCTAAGACTGTAGTCATTTAGGCCTAGCCCAAGAGCATATTTCAGCATCTGGCCAAGTTCAAATAAAGCAAATGGGACTTGCTAGGCCTATGCATAAATGCTTTGAGAAAGAGAAAGAGAGGATCTGCAAGATAGTTATTAACACAACAAATAGAAAGCTTTCAGAATTGCTGTTTTGGATAGCCGTTTGCTTTAGTCAAGTATAATAAGGAAAATCTAATGGGACTTAGACTTGGCATGATATAAATTATTGCTATACCTCTTGCATGATATAGTATAAATGAAACCAATCTATGCAGCTTGTTCTGTTAAGTCACAAATATAGTTTATGAATAAATATTTATTCAATCATTTGTGGAAAAAGATGTTCACAAAACTACATTCATGAGGGAAAAATATGGCTGGTTCTCCTCTCAATATGGAAATATGCTCAATTTGTACTAACCCTTTCTCTTTACAAATGTTCATTTTCTTATATGGTTTTGCTATTATGTTTGCAGTTCCCTTCATTTACAGGTCAGCATATTTTTAATAAGCATTGTCAGTCAAATTTAAAGAAAATATTATCAAATAAAATAAACAATTTTTAAAAAGTATTACCACTGAAAAATAGTTCTGAGAAGGCAATGGTAAAGTGATTACTGAATTGAGAGAGGAATTTATTGTAACTCTTCCTGGCTTTGCCACTGCATGTTTTTTTCAAGCAAGCAGGCTTTCTTTGCCTTGTTTCTCTCATCTGTAAATGGAAATAGTAATATATCTATCAATACAAACAATACCTCTTTATACCTCAGTATGGAGTATACTTTCTAATCAAAGCAATGGAATAAATGCAATAGTATATTCATGGTGAACTTGTTTGTGCATATCAGGCTAATTGGGTAAGGACCTGTATGTATTGTTTAATTATTGTTAAATGTTCATGTAGTATTATAAACATATAAAGGGCTTTAGTAATTTTATTGTGGACTCCTGATATGAGCCCTGCTTTTCCTGGTTGACAGCGACAAAAAGCTGTGGTAAAAAATTGGTGTAAAAAGTACTTTGGAAACAATGTTTGGTTTTTAGGTGAATCAAGTAAGTACTTAACCTTTAATGAGAAGTGTTGACTGTTGTTACCACATTGTTAGTACAGTTGGGACACCTTACATTATTGTGACCATGAGAGCTGGGAGGTGGTTCAGCAGCCCTACCAATGAAGACATGAAAATTACTATACAAATTTTATACAGATGAATAAAATGAATCACAGTCTAGTCTTCTATAGGTATTCTCTGCAACTCAGAGTTTAGTCACACTGGCATGAATATCTGGAGAAGCTAACACTATGGTTGACTGTTCTTGTTCTCCGATTAAAGGAGTTATTTTAGTATTTAGCACAATGTATCTAGGAACATATGCAAACCTTGAGTTCACATCAACTGAAAATAAAATGTAGGATGTACAACTGACTGATTGAGTCCCATGTTTCCTCACATACCAAAACCAGGATTGAAGTATACATTCTACAGTAATACAGGTTATCTTAAGTCATCTCTATTGTACCTCTCCAAACTTGCAGATATTTTGTAGGTAGTATACATTAGTTCAACAAATACAGACTCTTACTATTCGATAACAGTAATATGAACAGTGCCATAAATTTCCACTGTGCTTTGTAGACTAATAGGGCAGGTTGTTGCCTCAAGTATCTTTCAATTTAAAGGCTTGATTTCTGCAGATACTTATTCATGTGAGGTGACTGTGGAAGCTGATGAAATCAGGATCAGGACTTGAGGCTGAACAAAAAGGCCCTGAGCAAATGAGACCATGAATGGGAGCCTTGGGGGGTTGGTATGAAAGACAAAACCTTTGCATATGTAAGGAGTTTTGAGAAGATTCAATTCTAAACATCATTTAAAAAATGCTAATGAGAAATGTATACCTTTTTCATGTTATGCTATAATATTTGGTCATGTTTTTATAGTGTGTTTGTTTGATCCATACTCCAAATAGATGGAGTGTAGGTCACTGCTCGAAAGAGACTGATCTTTGAAACTGTACATTTTTTTTTTTATATGGGAATACATCTCAGGATCAGTTAAATACTGCTATAAGTCTATACCAAAGCTGTTTCAACCAGGGGCTATAATAACTTTTTCCTCAAATTTTTTTAAGTTTTGTCATAGATGCATTCTGCTGTAACATGTAATTACTTGGATCATCCAGTTCAGACAACTTTGGATGTTTTGGTTTTTTTTTTGTCATATTTGTCTAGTTTTGTTCAGGAGAAAACAGGATTGATGATTCATACAAAAGTAAATTTCATGGAAAATGTGACATTTGTGCTTTTGTGTTATGCCCACAGTGTAATTGTCCTAACTAAAGGTTACTTTTTTTCAAGAATGTGGTCTTAACATGGTTTAATTTAATTGTTCTTCTCAAGTAGGTTTGTCCAGTAGTAAACTGCAATAGTTATTTAAAGTTACAAGTGGCAAAATAAATGTCCTCTAGTAACACAGCATTTAAAACAAATTTTGCTTCTACATCAGCAATTAGAAATACTTTTTTACTAGCAGCTTGGTTTCTGTGTAAACGTTTTATTGTGACTTGACTACAAAGTGAAAACACCGACAGAGTCCCTCCCCACTCCAAATGAGTGGTGTTAAAGATCATGAAACTTCAGTGTCTTGTGAGAGCAGCTGTTCTGTGAAAATCAAACTGCTTTATAAACAAATAGCAGCATCTTTTTTTAAGAAGGTTTAAAAACAAAAATAGAAATGCTGAGGGACACTCACATGCACACACATTACAACACAAGAAAACCGAGATTGTGAGTAAGTAAACTTTATCTTTTCAAACACTTATTCCAGTCAGCCCATCATCAGGGAGAATGCTTTGGTTCAAACTCAAGACTTGATTTTTTTTTTTTTTTTCCTCAACCTTATTTTAAAGGCAATATTTATTCTTTTTTGTTTTATTTTGGAATGGTTCTATTTAAAATGTAGAATGTGTTTATTTGCACCAGAGAGCTTCTGATTGGTGCTCTGTATTTGTACCAGCTTATTTAAAGGGAGAAAAACTATTAAATTATGATTATTTACATGATAAAGTCAAAGAAGGTGCAGCTTATTCGGAACAAGCGAAGACATATGAGGCTTTGGGACTATTTACCTTTGCGGGTTTAACTGACAACATCTAAATGTTCTACTGAATTACAGTTAATCTGTTTGGTAAAATATAGCATCTACTTTCTACAAAAGCTATATACGGAACTCACTTCTTAAAAAGTTGATCTCTATTTTTCTCTTCATAAGGTATAACTGTTCATCAGCATTTTGGTCAAGGAGGTGTTTACCACCTTATCAGTTAGCTCTTTGTAGAAAGAGCTGTTTCTTTCAAAATTCCTGTTAAGAAAGTAAAGGGATGCCTTACTAGAAGCTCTATTTGCTGCTACATCCATACTTTTCTGGCATGTATGTGCTGGAGGCATCATATTTGAAGCTTTATTTTCTTTGGATTATTTTATAAATGATGAACATAAAATCTGTTTCTAGTGGAACACTACCTTACTGGTTTTATGCAATGCTTACATGACAGTAGCACACATATTTTCTAAGAAAAAAACAAAGTTCCAGTGTATAACGTGTATAAATAAATACATAAGTAAGGCATCTGCCTGGAAGAGTTTTCTGTCTGAGAAAGGTTCTGTAAACACACATATTTTAGATGTACTTGGGAGAGTCAGATGGGTAAAAATAAAATGGAATGGGGAAGGGGCATTTCTTTACGCTTGACTAATACCTGGTGCATAGATACCCAAGCACATTTGCTAGTGTAGATCTAATAGAAGCATAGCTGCATCCATCCAGAGCTTTGTAGTTGTAACTGAAGAGAGGAAGGTGTGAAAAAAACACTGAAGGAGAGAGGAAAGTGGCTGGGACATTCATCTGCTAAGAACAGGACAGAAGTTAAATCAAACCTATGAAAAGTTCTGTTTGGTTTTCAGTATCTGAAGTTTTCTCTCCCATGCTATGCTTCTAGCAGGGATGTTTCATGGACTCCCTTGGGTGAATTGTTCACAAAGCTGTGTGGCTGTCGGAAGTCATCTAGAGACTTCTAGTTCTAGTAGAAGTAGTGTCTGTTTCAGGATGCTGGCACAGAAGCATCTGAGTTCCCATTTACCTTCTGCCTGCAGTAATCATTGTTTTGGCTGCTTCTCTGTTGACTGTACAGACTGTTTCTCGGTAGTAAGTAGATAAATTCGTAGATATACAGAATGTTCATATTGTGGAAGCCATATGCATTGTATTCATTTTAGCCACTTTTTCTTAAAGGCAAGTAGTGCACTTAAGCTACTTCTGAGAGATTTTTATGCTTAATGTAGCACAGAATTCTTCAGGTCTTTATGAAGAATGAAATGTAGAGAGAAAAACATACAAAAGAAACATACAAAACAGCAAACATACAAAATAACAGTTTTGATTCATAGAAACCTGAAGGGTTTCATGCTATTAGACTCTAGCATTTACTAACATGAGGACACCACCGAGTGTGACAGCGCTATCCAGCTAGGTTCTGACACCCTGCACAAAGGCAGAGGCCACATATGTAGTGTTTGCTTTACCTTTCGATGAGGTTCATTTAGTGAAGCTGCTGCTAGAAATGTTGTTTCAGAGGATTGTCATGCTCTGGATATAAGTGAGAATTCCTTGCTCTGCTGCTGCTCCATATGTGTGCTGGATGAGATCTATGTAATGCACTAGATCCATCTGCTGTCTAAAAAATTCTTTGCAAAAGTACTAAGCAAGAAATGTGAATGCTCAGCCAAACAATTATACATGCTGTTGCAGTTATATGCAATGCTTGGGAGAGAGGAATCTTAGCAAATATTTGTGCTAAGCTGAATTAAGAACACGGAAGCAAAGTATCTGTACATGTCCATACCTAGACAGAGTTTTATAGGTTTGCTGCAAGTGATTGGCATTTGCAGAGCCAAAATATTTTTAGAAGAAACGGTTATTCATCACAAAATGAAACCTTTGGGTCGCTTAATAACTACAATGCAGGATCTTAGAAAGGCTGTGAAGAGGATTTTCTGTAAGCTGTGCTGTGAGCAGTAAATTATAATACAGTATTTTTCATTCTATGGAAATTACACAAAGGATTTCTTATTCTGTAATATGGATGAACACGAAGAATTGATGTTGGCGTTAACTTTTCAAATCATATTACTTAAAACGGTGAGGGTTATAAAATGTCCACAGACAGCTTCATTTTCTCTCTTGTCTTCCTAATGCACATGTACCAATGGCTGTTTGATTCATTTATTGACATAAAACAGAATTGCTTAGAACTAACCACTCATTCATCATAATCACAGTTACCAGAGAGCGTGGGGTAAGAGGTTAACTGCTTGCTAGATGTATCAAGATCTTTGGTATATACCAAAGCCTCACTCGATAGAAATCTGATAATGGTCTGTTGGAGGTAAAATGGAAGTGTTAATAGCTAAATAAAAAAGTTGATAAAGACTGTACTGTAAAACACTCACATTTCTGAAGTTAATTAAAAAGAGCTGATCAAAGTGAAGCTTCCATTAAAAATGTTACTTTAAGGTATTAAAGATAGAGCATAAAGATCAATTTTAAAAATCAGTGTGTTTTCTTTTTTTTTTATGTATTTTCCATTATATTTTTTCTTCTTGGCAGTACCTTCATTAATAATTAAAATATAAATAATTTGAAAATGTTCATTTTAACTTTTAGTAGTTTATGTTCATGTACAGTGATGATGAATTGGTATTTTGGGGTATCTACATTAAGAAGACATTGAACAAAATAAATTTGAACTAACTGGGAGCAGCTTCTGTTTTTAATACATGCATGTGATGGATTCAGTACTGTGCATCATAAAATATTCAAAAATTTCACTTAATTGTATAAATACCATATTATCTTTATGAGTTTATTAGAAATTACTGTATAATCCTGGTTCTGAAACAATCTGAAAGATGCTCCCTGCGGGAGCCAAAAAGCCCCAGGGAGTAATTAATCCAACTCTCTGATGCTAAAACAAAGCAGGTTACCTGAGTTTTTGAAGTTTCATCTCTCACTTCTGCCTTCCCCAGTGAAACAGTTCACAAAATGTAAGACTTGATTCGAAGTACTTATTTTCAGTATAAAAAGTAAAGTTTGATGTAGAAAGGGAGATGATTTTCATCTGGAAACTGGCAGGAATGAGGGTCTGACTGAGACACATGGTCCTGCAGAAGATCTAAAGTAATGTAGGGCACCAGAATGAAAATGAATGACTAGCTAGCAAGTAGGCTGTGTGTATGGATTCCTACCGGCTTACTGTGAGTTTTCTACTCAAATGCTTTAATATTCAATGCATAATAGTTTTCTTTCAAAGACTTGCTGAAGTGATCATATTAAAGCTCAGGAACCTGAAGCCAAGCTTATCATGATGAAAGTGAGGTAAAAATTTAGTTCCCCAATACGTCATAACTAGCTACCTAAAACTTGAGAGGTGCTTCCACAGCAGGCTTAAGGGGTTGGAGATATGGTTATTTCAGAGTGTGTGAGAATGCCCGTTGATTCTATTTCAGTAGAAGCTTGATGAACATCAAATTAGGCTCATGATTGGCTAATCCATCAGTGGAAAGTAGGCAGCCCTTTGCATTTCAGAGACAAGTGTTCCAGAATGTACTTGGTTTATTAAACAATTCTGTGAAGTTCACTGACCTCACTTTTATTTTTCCTGTATTTCTGAGATACTTTTTAGACTTGATCACCTTAAGAGAACATGCACTATTGATTTATTTAAAGATATGATTTTATTTTTGTCTTTAGTGTTTATTTATACCATTGATACTTAATTTCATTGTTCCTTTTTACCAAGTGAATTTATAAAATCTATCGGTGAAACTAAATAGCTGAGATTTTTCTTTCTAAGATGCAATGTTCTGTTTTTTTTTCAACACTAGTTTTTATGTCATTTTGTTGCTTCTTAGTCCAGTATTTTTAAAGTATGGGTAGAAAGTCTTAATTTTATGGAACACTTCCTTCTCCAAATCATGATGCAGATTTTAATATCAATTTTTGAAAAGCCATTTACCCCACAACTGTATTGAATCTCCCCTCCCTCCCTCTCCCTCCTCTATCCACTGAAGAAGTTGTTAGAACTCTCTTCTCCTGTCTTGCTTGGATAAAATTTTATCATAGCTAGGTTATTTGCCTTTTAAAATTGATTATATATTAAGGTAGCATCCCACCCTAGCAAGTACTGTGTTCGTTAAAGCCTGACATTATATCTATGTTTGTTAAGAAGTGTGAATGGGTTTGAAAGGAATCTTTGGCCCAAAGGTTTGTTTGGTATGAACTGAGGTATATTCACTTGCCTCTGAAATATCAGGTGTTGACTGCTGCCCTCTCCAAGACTTTTCTAACCCAGTATGGAAACCTAATATATTTTTAATCTCTGTGTCTTGAAATATGATAAAGGAACAAACAAGCTCCTTTTCTGATCCTTCACAGCCCCATTCCTAGACAACCCCTGCTAGGAAGTGACTATTGCTACCATGTCTGTGTATAACTTTTCTGTAGTAAGTTAATTGTTTCGTAATCTTTTGTTCTTCATGATGATTTTTATGGACATCACTGTAACTTTTAGAGAATGATGAGGGGAACATAACCATTCTGTTACCTTTTTGCCAAATTCTTCAAAACAGCTGCAAGATCTTACTCCAGGTTCCTAGATTTGCGCATTAGATAACATTTATGCATTCTCTTCACTGGCTGATTTACTTGAATAACTATATAATTATTGAACCAAATATAATATTTTTTCTCTTCCTGTTTTATTTTTTAAACTGAATTTATAATTCTTACTGCCACAGTATTCATTAGAGATTTGATTCAGTTTGTGGAATATTCAGCAGCAAGCTATAACAAGAATCAGTGTTCTGTCTTCTGCCCTATTAAAAGCATTTAGATGGAGTTGATGCCTTCAAAGAGTGTGTTTTGGTTTTTTTTTTTTTAAGGCTACATAGATTCTTGTACTTTACCCCAGAAACATGCTAGCCTTTCTTCCTCCCCACACTCTCTTTTTAACTCCGGTGGTTTGTTTCTGTGTGTGAATAAACTCCTTCAAAACAGCTTCCCATTTGAGATGGCTGTTGTTTATGGGTTTTTCCTCACCCACCCATCTGCCATTAACTATTTGGTTACCACTTGAAATATTTCATCATCTTCATCATCAAGATTCGAACTCATTGTCCTGTGGCCATTGTTGCTTAGCAGAACACCCATGCTTGCTCTCTACACAAACTCACACAAATTAATAACTGAGTGGAACTCCTCCTCCTCTGTGCTCCAGAAGGAGCTGCTCCAAAAAGAAGCCATTTATAGTAGCAATAAGCCGCTTCTCCAAACCATGTACAGATGTGTTATTCAACCAGTTAATATTGGGGTAGTTAAAATCACCCATTATTATTTTTCTGGCAGATTTTGCCACTTCATTAATATCTTTCAACATACTGAGTTGCTTGGCTGTTCCTTCTTTTACATGGCTTATATCATATCATGCCATCACAGCATATTCTGTAGTTTTGAGTTAATTGCCCAATTAACAGTGGTATTCATGAAGTGCTAGGAAAATTCCACAACTAATGATTTGGACAATTTCAAAATAGGTTGGTATTTCATAGTTTAAAATGTCAAACATGCCAATAGCTGCAAGCTTGACTGTGCAGGCTTAGAACCCAATAGCTCAAAAATTCTGTATGACAAAAATCATAATCCAGCCCTCAGGAAAAGGTTTCCCCAATATTTCCATTTAGGAAAGTTCTACACTACCCTCATTTCTCCTTGGACTGGTGATTTGGTGGTGTATTTTGTGGAAATGTGGAATAAATTACTTCTGGCAGTGGTGAATGCACGCTCACCCCCAGCCTGACCCTGGGTGTTGTTTATGGCAACATTGGAGAAACTATTGTAATAATGGTTGTGTATATGCTTGCAAAACTCAGGAAAACAGAGATGAGAGTGATTGGAAGGTTGTAGGATTTGCTAGAGGACTTTGTACTTTCCTTTCCCATTGCCTGGATTAGGTAGGGATATTAACAATGCATAGTTAGCTTTGATGGGCCATTGTTCCCAGATGCAACTGAGAGTTGCCAATAGACTCTGTAGGCAATGATCTGATATTTTGTTTTGTCTCACCAGCTGCCATGCAGAGATGCCAGGGAGACACTGCCGACCCTTTTTGCATTTTCTCACTACCTTCTGTGCCATTTATGAGTTACAGGACTGAGGTGAGGCAATGGACATAGTTTGCAGAGTCTGGGGATGGGCTATGGCCGTAAAATAATTTCATTTTCATCACCCAAGGAAGAAATTATTCATTTTCAGGCTTGAAATTCAGGGTCAGAAACATGGATATGGTAAAGAAGTCATTTCACCTCCTGAAAGCTAAAGGATCACAGACTCATGAACATCTGGTATTTCCCTACTTACCCCGTATATTGAGACTGTATTGATGATCTAATGCAAACTGCTCAGAGGTATATGCATACATGATTAAGGCCTTAATTCAGCAACGTGCATTAAGTACTTCAGGGTGCTTCCTTGCAATTGGCAAGACTTTGCAGGAGTTAAAATCCTGTGAATACTGAGATCTTCACTGGGATGGTACTGGTTATATTAGTATGGCTGCTGGATAACTGTTTTTTTTTAATTAATCTATTGAAATACAGTGTTGTTTACATCTTTCTTTTAGTTCCTCTTGGAGTGTGGCAGATTCACGAGGGTATTGTAATTTACATTTTGTAACAAAAATATAGTGAATTGTCTTACCTCGTTCCTCTTGGGAAATCTGCAAACAATCATTAACACTTTCCATCAGTGTTCTCTTCAGAGTTTTCTAAACTGAACAGTATAGTGGTAAAAGCTCATTTTTAGATGCTGTTACAGTTCTTTCACGTCTTTATAGTACTGTAGTAAAGCTGAATTTACTAGCTACTCTGAAAGCAGGGTAAGGCAGCATTAGAATCTACATTAAAGTGATTCAAGACTCTTCAGAGAAAAGCCTTCTTAACTTGAGCTCAGATATGGTATGTGTTTTGGGGAAGTTTTCTAAGGATTTCTGATGAACTTAAATGCTAGCAACAGCCGCTGCTTTTTGAAATATTACTCTGTCCAGCTCAATGAAATTTAAGGGAATTTGCTTTGCTTTGTAAGCATATGTGATCAACATTAGCATGCAGGGGAGCTGCACCTGCAAATGGAAGGGAGGCTATGTCCTAGAGACTAATTTTGTGGTTTGAATTGGTAAAGATGGGAGGGATCATCTTAAGTGCACTTGTTTCTCTGTGAAAGTTAGTGCAAATCTCCAGTTTCTCAGGTAAGTACCGTGCTCTGATGTATTTTTCCTAAACGTTCTTCTTGGTGGCCATTCAGATTCTTTCCAGTTTGGGTGTATAGAGAAGATACTTGTTTTCATAAATGTTCATGAGTTATGAAAATGCAAACCCTTTAAGGTCATGCAGCTTGCATCCAGTCAGGTTGACCTGCAATAAGTGTAATGGTTACTGTACCTGGCTTTATGGTTCTGAACAGCTTACTTCATCTTGGTTTTCTTTCTTAATCTTTGACTATTTCACCTCTTTAAACTATAGTCTTATAATATATGGCAAAGCCTAGTGCCCCAAAAGAGGATTAGTGGGGTTCTCTAGGAATGGTTGTAATACTGATTACAATTGCTAATACAGTGGTAGTAGTAGTAGCAACTGCTACTACCTGTAGTACTGTTCAGTAGTGCAATTTTAAACTACTGAGATACTAATAACTTTAAAGCTTCCCACAACCACTAGGAAATGTCTTCCTGCTTTTAAGCAGGGTTTTGTGTGTTCTAATTCATGCAGGGTTCTGCATATTCTAATTGATACAGGAACCGTACATGTTTCTTACCTTGTTACTATTTTTCAGTAATTTTGCACCAAAAGCTTATTTTTCAGATTAAGCTTCAGTTGTGGAAATAACCACTTGGCCTATCATAATTTTAGAGAATTTTGCTATCATGAAATTAAGTGAATACCTAAAAGAAATCTTGCTGTTATAAATTAGTTAAACAAATTCTACAGAAACAGCAGGGATGTAAAAAGTGATTGATCATTTCTTGTTAATTTATTGGCAACGTTATCGTTAATGACAGTAGTAACATACACAGTATTGCAAACTGTACAGAATGGAAGAAGATTGTTTTTTAACAAACATAATCACTATTTAAAAGTTAAATCTAAAGATAAATAATTTTGAAATAGAATGATGAAATAAAATATATATAAATAGTATAAGTCTATATCCAAGATCTAGAAATATTCTGTGTTTTATCCAGTTGCAAGATAAAACGTTTTTTTTGGTTTTTTTTTGTTTTTTTTTTTTTTCTTTTATGATGGAAATAGTATTTATAATAAATACATTAACCTTTGTCTTTATAGTTTATTTAAACGATAAAGACTATTCTTTGCTGATAATACTGAAGAATGCTCAAACATTTTGGGAATTAGTATTTAACCTTGAGTTTAGAAATTCCCAAATAGTCAGCTAGAGCCATTAAAACAGGTATTTCCTTCTCCAGTGCTGCATATCAAAAGTCACTGAAATATGTCATAAATATATAATTCTGTCCAGGGAAGGTATAAGTGGGTGGTATTACTAAAAGGAACAGTGTTAGCCATTATCTCTTTGGCTCATCTAATTAATCTGTTTTTTCTTGCAAATTTACTTTCCAATTTCTCTGCCAATTTGACCAGCCTGAAGGTCTCTTTGATAGTGTTGCAAAAGTCCGTTTGCAAAACCACTAAGCCTATAGGAAATGCTGAAAGTATTGAATTCTGTTGTCCTAAAAGTGGTCTTTCTTTCTTCAGGGATGTAGGATTACAGTTTTTAGTATTTCTGTGAGTGGAAGAAGTTACCTGGCATTAGGGAAAGCAGCATATTTTTGAGATTGTGGTTTTTTTTTTACAAGAAACAAAAGTCTTTTCTTACCAGAACAATCCTGTGGAATAGCCTCTTTTGCAGAGTTTAAGGCCAGTACATTCAAAGTAATCGTTCTAAAAATGGGAAAAAAAGCCCAGCCCGGAAATGGACGGTTCCTTATTGCAGCTATTTACTGGACAGTTTCTCTAATTTGTTGTCAAGTTTCTAAAAAATCCCAAAGAATTTACAAACTTTAAAGGTGTTCTGAGACACATCCTGTTCTTGGTTAAAGGTTCTGCTATATCACTGCTAGGACAAAAAAGTGAAGTGCCTTTCCACCAGCTGCAGAGAAAGAAAGTGATTTGAATGTTAATGAAGGGTAGAAGTTTCATAGTAACAGAAAAAACAGAGGCTCTACAGATAAGAGAATATTTTCCCAGGACATCTTGGTCTGCAGTTGTTGGAACCAGAGGAAGTAATATTACTAAGGAAGTATTTAAATGTCTTTAACAGATATTAGATGATGGAGTAGTCATTATATTCCTATCCAAGCTCCAATGCCTGAGAAGTCTATTGAAATACAGTCTTTTGAGAATAACCACTTACTCCTGTTTCTAGACTCCCAGATTAGTTTGGGCATCCTGTTAATCTATAGAGCTCCAAACACAAAAGATTTCTCAGTTACTAAAGTTGCTGTTTAATGTGGCAATAAAGATCATAAGTTCATTGTCTTTATAATGACTCATATAAATTCATGCTCCCCCTGCTCCCCTTCTGCCCCAACTGGAAAAAAAATCTCTGATACAACAGCATTGAAATTCTTTCCTGATATTTCCACATCAGGACCTGGCAGTGCCCTTGAATGGTTCATAGCTCTTGATGCGAACATAAGAATTCCCTTTTACTCCTGCTTGCTCTTCACTTATGATCATTCATTGCTATGTTTCATGAACCCCATGACACAATCCACTCTTTCTGAACATCTAATCCGTTCCCATAGATAGTCGTATGAATACAAACTGGCATTCATGGGCTTGCCATTCCTGTCAGAAAATTAAAAAAAAAAAAAAAAAAAGACAGCAAAACCATCTGTGTCTTTGTCTTTTACAGTTTGAATCAAACTACTCATTCTCTAAGGTAGTCAAAGGTTTGGTTATTATTAAAAGCACTGTTACTTGGTGTCCTCAGCAATTCTTGTCTACTATTAAACTGTGGTGAGTTGTTTGTTTTTGGTTTTTTTTTTTTTTCCTTTTTTTTTTATTATTTTTTCAGTAAATTAGCAGGAAAGTAGCACTGAGTGCACAATTGTACCACTGAGTTGCTAAAATCGCGAGACCTTCAGAGATGGGCCTTGAGCCTATAAAGGTACAGCGTTCATCATTCTGATGGATGGCTTTTCCTGCCTATAAAATAAAGGAAGTAATCTGTCCTCATTCTCCTTACTTCTTTCTAAACAGAGACATCTATTTGGTTGCCAAACTCTGCTTTTCATTCTTCAACTAATCCCAGGGAAAATGGAAATATGTTGAAAAGCCTGTGACGCTTGGTGGATGACTAGTTCTTTGCTCCCGGAGCACTCATCTATAGTGTTTGACAACTCTATGCTCTTGCTCCTATTTAGTATTTTGATGAAATTGCTGTGAGATCCATTGAGATTAACTTTTTGCCATACACAGGAGATATGTGGCTTTCTGGAATGATGAAACCCAATTTTGGCTCTCTGAATACCCAATAGAGAACATACTGAAGATCTTAATTTTAATTAAATCTTAAAATTGGCTTAAGCTAAAACCAAATAACATACAAGGGATGCCCCTTCAAAATATCTTCCTCTGTTGTTCTCTGTTGACTATATCTAGCATTTACCTGCTAGATCTCAGATAAGTATGAGCAATAATTGGTATCCAAGACAAAAAAGGGAGACCTATACCTGAGTGTTATTTCAAAATACTGATTTTGGGAGACTAATAGAACAACGAATTCTCTTTTCTCTTTGGAATCTGTTTTTTTGTTTTGTTTGGGTTTAATGTTTTGATGATTTGTTGTGGTTGTTTTTTGTTTTGGGTTTTTTGTTTTTTGGGTTGTTTGTTTTTTTGTTTGTGGGTTGTTTTTTTTTTTTTTGTTGGCCTCCCTGTAATGTCATTTGTGTGAGATGGCAGACTGAAAACTGCCAATATTGTAGTCCATAAGCCTGCTGAATTTGCTTTTTAACTATCTTTGGGCACGTACTGTTGACATCATCACCATGATATCTAACAATATTTATTTATTTTTTTTTTTTTTAGTGTTTTGGGATAATACTAACTTCTAGATCCCTTAAAAGAAGGAGGGAAAA